AAGGCCCTAGCAAGTGAGAGACTACAGGGACTAGACCAAGCTGTACACAGTGCCGCTGATGATCTTTAGGCGCAAGCGCCTTTGTAAAGATATCAGCTGTATTGGCACCGGAGGCCAAGTATACTACGCGAGCCTGGCGGCGCTGCTGTAGCTCGCGCAAGAGGAAGTACCGCAGCTAGATATGCTTCGCTCTGCCCTCGAGTCGAGGCTCCTGACACAGGAGGATCATGGCCCTGTTGTCAGCGTACAGGACCGGGGCAGAGCTAGGCCGCTCACCTAAGTCAGTAAGCAAGAAGGTCAGCCAGCGGAGCTCCTGTGCCGCCATGGCACCAGCGTAGATCTCGGCCTCACAGCTGGACTGGGCAACAGACGACGAGCGGGTAGCTTTCCACGAGACGGCACCTGAACCAAGGCTGAAGCAGTAGCCCTGGGAAGACCTGAGTGTCTCGGCATCGTCTGCCCAAGAAGCGTATGTGTGTCCAGTAAGGACCACTGACCTGCGTCCTCCTAGCACTAACCCCATGCCAGATGTCCTTGCAAGATAACGCAAAACCCTCTTAGCGGCATACCAGTGTTGCAGTCGGTGTCTACCTGTGGCCACAAAGCGAGCCAGGATGCTGAGAGGGTATGCGAGATCTGGGCGAGTGCAAGTCATCAGGTACATGAGGCAACCCACCAACTCTGCGTAAGGACCACTGGGCTCTAATGACTCCTCAGGAACTGGAGCGGAGAGTCTGTGATCTACAGGAAGAGGGGTGGGCTGTGCGGAGGAGAACTAAAGGCCGAACCTCTGAAGGACCTGGCGCACCAAGTGTGACTGAGTCAAGGTGATGGTGCGTGCTGCTCTGTCCCTGGAGATCTGCAAGCCAAGGTAGTGGCGCAGTTCTCCAAGGTCAGTGCAAGTGTGTCTCTTCAGCAGCTCTGCCTTCACGGAGGAAAAGTGCGTCCCTGTCTACTGTGGCAAAGACCAGATCGTCCACGTAAACAAGGATGTAGAACGGAGTCTGGCCAGCACGAACGAAGAGTGAGGGGTCTGCGGAAGACGGAAAGAACTGCAGGTCAGCAAGCGTAGCACGCAGCGTGTCGTACCACTCACGGGGAGCCTACCGCAGGCCATAGACGGGACGTCGCAGGAGCCACCGGGTCCCAGGAGGGAAGGTGCCGGTAAAGCCCTGAGGGCGACGCAGGTAGACCTGCTCATGTCGGCTGCCCTGAAGGAAGGCAGTGGAGAAGTCGAGGGAGTGAAGCTCGTAGTCACGCTGAGCAGCTACGTGTAACAGAACCCGAAGAGTAGTCATCTTTGGGGTCGGAGCGAAGGTCTGGAAGAAGTCCACCCCCTCACGCTGACTGAAGCCTCTAGCCACGTAGCGCGCCTTGAACACAGGCGGCTCTCCAGGAGGGCGCTTCACCTTGAAGAGCCAACGGCCATCGACTACGTTCACCCCAGGCGGGGGAACTGCGTCGACGAAGGTGCCGGTGGATCTCCAAGATGCCATCTCCTGCTCCATGGCAGCTATCCACTGCGAGGCCTAGGGTCCCGAGGTCGCCTCAGCGTAAGTGCGAGGGGTCGGGATGTCGAAAGCGCCTGGGTCACCCTCAGGGACTAGCAACATGGAACAGAGATGGGGAGCAGCCTCGGACAGGAAAGCAAGCTCGAACTGGCGGTCCTCCAGGACGTCACTGCCGAGGGCAGGAGCACCCCCGACAGACGGAGGACAGGCAGGGTCAGAGACCAGAGCGGTGGCGTAGTCAAGGCGGCGGGTAGAGGCGAAGTCAGCGACCGCAGCGACAAGAGCGTCAAGACACGAGACCGGAACAGACGGGTCGGTAACGAGAGAGGCGAGGACCCGAGGAACAAGAGGACGAACGGCACGAAGGTAGTCAGACAGAGGAGGAGGTGGAACGGTAAGAGAGGACGGAGGAGGGGATGGTAGAAGGGGAGGACGAGACGCGTGAGAACGGAGCATCATAGCGTGAGAGCGCGTGACAGGGGAGACAGGACGAGCGCGGGAGGGACGGCGGGACCAGACGTGAGACGGAGGTATCGGGTCAGGAGACAGAGGAGGGGACACAAGGGGGGAGCAAGGGGGAAGAGGAGCCGGGGACGAGTCCGGCGGAGGGAACACAGTGCCGTAGACAGGAAGAGGAGGGGACGGCAGGAGAGGAACGGACGCAGGGTCAGGGGACGGAAGGCCGAGCAGGCGAAGGGCTGACACCGGCGGGGACTGCTGCTGCAGCGGCTGCTGGGGCGGCTCCTCAGCTGGACATGGCAGGGTCCCCTCGTCCACTCCACCACTAGACGACCCGACTCCACCACCACCTCCACTGGCACCCCCACCTCCTCCGTTGCGCCCAGCCTTGGGGCGGCGGCCCTTCCCCGGACGGAACTGTGCTGCAGCGGCGGTCTCAGCCAGAGCTGCAGAACCATAGGAGAAGGTGCACTGAGCGGGGGCACAACCCTGAAAGATAGGGACCGGCACAGTACCGCTCGCCTGGGCGATAGAGCGGTGGCGGGTCTCGATAACAGTCAGGGTATCTACAAAGTCTGTGAGGGTGAGGTCACCGGGGTGAACGCTAAGGAAGCGGTCACGAGCAGCAGCAAGGCGGTCAGGGAGGCGGGTGGCAAGCAGGTAGAGGGTACAGGTAAGGGGCGGCTGGTGGGCTGTAAGCTGTGCGTCAGTGCAGGCAGCGCGCCAGGTCTCATCTATCGTGCGGAGGTGGGCAGCCAGGTCAGCGACAGTGGGGAAAGACGCAAGGTCAGGAAAGAGCATCGGTAGGATCAGGCGACCCACCGAGGCAGCAGGCGGGGCGGAATAGCACCGGATAACAGCATCTAAGAAAGCCTGGGCAGTAATGATAGACCTAAAGCGAGGACTCTCAGACGGGGGGAGGGCATTGCTAATGACAAGCTGGGCGAGCGAGGGCAGCGGCCGCAGTGGACTCGCGCTCAGCAGGTGTGGGGTCAGCGGGCAGTACAGCAGGGGGGTCTGGGCAGGGAAGCGTACCGTCAAGATGTGCCGAGAGCGGGTGGCCATCCTGCCGCTGACCCGTGTGGTGGTGGCGGAGGTAAGCTAGCCAGGCCTCGAACTCCAGAGGCTGGCCTTCAGCATCGAAGCGAAGCTCCGCCGCCATCAGGAACAGCGCAGGGCAGTACAGTGCAGTACATGATGGTACAGTGCAGTGCAGGGCGGTACAGTGCGGTGCAGCGCGGTACAGTGCGGTAAAGTGCGGTGCAGCGCGGTGCTGTGCGGTGCAGGGGGGGTGTAGTGCAATGCAAGGTGATGGAGAGCCGTACCAGGGAGGGTGCAGCGCAGTAGCAAGCACGAAGAGCGGGCCGCACGCAGATCGGCGGAAGTCCGGCGGGAAGGTGAGCACGAGGCCGGAGATCGACGAGCAGGGCGCACGCAGGGGTCGGCAGAACGGGCGCGCCGGGGCCAGGAGCGGCGGGCGCCGGGCCGGCGAGGACGGGCGCAGGGGCCAGGTAGGACGGGCGCGGGGCTGGCTAGGACGGGCCTGGGACGGGTGCGGGGCCAGCTAGGAGGGGCCTGGGACGGGCGCGGGGCCGGCTAGGACGGGCGCGGGGGCCTGTAGGACGGGCGCAGGGGCCAGCTAGGACGAGCGCGGGGGCCTGCAGGACGGGCGCAGGGCCGGCTAGGACGGGCGTGGGGGCCTGTAGGACGGGCGCGGGAGCCAGCTAGGGCGGGCGCGGGGGCCGGTAGGACGGGTGCGGGGGCTGCTAGGACGGGCGCGGGGCCGGTAAGGACGGGCGCGGGGGCCGGTAGGACGGGCGCGGGGGCCACTAGGACGGGCGCGGGAGCCGCTAGGACGGGCGCGGGGTCGACTAGGACGGGCGCGGGGCCGACTAGGACGGGCGCGGGGCCGACTAGGACGGGCGCGGGGGCCACTAGGACGGGCGCGGGGCCGACGAGGACGGGGGCGGGAGCCGTGAGGGCGGGCGCGGGGCCAGCTAGGACGGGCGCGGGGCCAGCTAGGGCGGGCGCGGGGCCAGCTAGGACGGGCACGGGGGCCTTTAGGGCGGGCGCGGGGCCAGCTAGGACGGGCACGGGGGCCTTTAGGGCGGGCGCGGGCCAGCTAGGACGGGCACGGGGGCCTTTAGGACGGGCGCGGGGCCAGCTAGGACGGGCGCGGGGGCCGTGAGGACGGGCGCGGGGGCCGTAAGGACGGGCGTGGGGCCAGCTAGGACGGGCGCAAGGGCCGTGAGGACGGGCGCGGGGGCCAGCTAGGACAGGCGCGGCGGGCGCAGCTAGGACGGGCGCGCGGGCGCGGCTAGGATGGGCGCGGGGGCGGCTAGGGCCTAGGGCGGAAGTATGGGCGGGCGGCGGGACCTACCTACTGCTGATACCATCTTAGAACTGAGAGAATTGAATGACTAGAGAAGGTGGGTACAAGCATACATATCTAAGGGTTGTACTCTCTAAGAGGTGACCCTATATAGTCCATACAAACACTAGATATACTAATGTTTGACATTCTTGCCCTTGTTGTCCATGACTTGTAATCGATGAATCTCTTGATGTGCTTGACTGTAGATAGAGCGTAGTTGCTGGGAGTTTGGTCTCTGACCAGCTCTCATACCATGTTGGGTTGAGAAAAGCCCTTAGGATCTTTTCAGAGACTAAGTCCCACTTGTACAAGGTTTGAGTAGTGCAGCAGAAGTATTGAGTAGTTGAACCCTTGCACTAGTATGTGAGAGCAAGTGATTGATTAAAAGAAACAAGCATACTGCAATATATAGAAATAGGTAAGTAAAGCAGTTGTAGAATACAGTTGAAGGAACGGTTATCGAGTCGCACAGCGACTCGATTGTCGGTTCGGTTACCATCCTTGCAGTTGTAACGGTCAGTCGCAACCTCCGGTTGCGACCCTTCAAGTCCTTTTCGTTGTTTCGTGTTCTTTCGTCCATCCCCTTGTGTAGCCTCCGTTGACTCGCGTACCCGTTACGACTTTCCTCGAGTGTAGTGTTACACTTCAGAAACGCTTAAGTCCTCGAGATATTTCCAACACCCTCTAACAACATACAACTATCTAGCCTATAACTTCTACATAGCAACATATGTATAAGTTGACAAAAACCACCTTGTTTGCCTCATTCTGGTCATTCATTCTAACTCTGATAACCACAACATCTGCTACACTCGTGCCTTGCACCAACCACAAACCAGTCCCTAAAGCATACAACCACACACTCCCAGCCATCATCACAACCATCTTCGTAACAAGTATGGTCCCTCGCCCTTTTCCTACTTATCAGTCTCCCTCTGCTTGTCCGCCCCTCGCTCCCCGTGCTCACTCTCACCCTCATCCCACTCTGCTGCTCCAGCCCCTAGCACCCACACACTCTCCCCTTTGTCCTTCTCCCTCTCACCCTGCTTCTGCTTCCTCTCCTGCCCCAGCCCAACCATTGCTACCGTTGCTGCTGCTGCAGCTGCATCTACCCCCCCTACCATCCTGTCCTCCTCCTCCCCTTCTTCCTCCTCCCCTCCACTTCCACCCTCCCATACATCCTCAAACTCCCCACTCTCTCCCCCCTCCTCCTCTTCCCCTTCCCCCTCCCCTACCTCCTCATATCTCCTTTCCTCCTCTTCACCTTCACTCCCTTCTGCCTCTTCCCACTCCTCTCCGCCCCCTCTCCCACCACCCCCCAAATCTCCAACTCCCCCTTCTCCCCGCAGATCCCCTCCCCTCTCCCCTGCAACCGCGCCTGCAGCCACCACTGCGGATCGGAACGCTGCATCTGCTGCAGCCTGCGACACCTGCACTGCCTCTGCCACGCCTTGCCTCCCCATCGCTGCTGGCACTGACTGCTGCCCCAAGGGTGCTGAAGGCATGCCAAGGGGTGCTGATGGTGCTTCCAACAACGATTGCCCCTCCACTCGCCCCACTCCTGCCCGTCTTTGCCTCAGCCCAGGCCTCCACACCTCACTTCCTTCCCCCTCCTCCTCACCTCCCTCCTCTCCCTCTCCTCCCTCCTCTTCTCCTCCCCCCTCCTGCCACGTGGCCATCTGCTCCCCCCCCGGCACCTGCCTGCTCCTGTCTCTCAGCAACTCCTTCCCTGCTGCTAGCAGCGACTCTATCTCCTCGTCACTCCCCTCCTCCTCCCCCTCACCCACTCTCACTCCCTCCACCCCTTCCACCCCCTCCTCTTCCGCCTCCCTCCCCACACCCCTCTCGTCTCCCCCCAAGGGCCGTCCAAGAGGAGGGGCAGCAGAGGGGGCAAGACCAACCGAAGGCGGGTGCAGAGGTATGCGCAAGGCAGCAGGGGCAGCAGGGCCGGTAGCAACAGGTGTAGAAGATCCAATGCCGAGGCTGCTGCTGCTGCTGCTGCCGCTGCCTTCCCCCATCCACGCCCTCACCCTCCCCGCAATCGCGCCCTCGTCCCTCAGAGAATCCATCCCCGCGCGCTCCCCTTCGTCAACCTCCTCCGCCTTGCCCTTCCCCCTGCCCCTCTCCCCCCCCTGCATGAACACTGGCCTCAGCACCTCCTCGCTCGCATCCAAGGGCGCCGAGGACGCAGACGCAGCGCCAGGGGGGAAACCAGCAGCAGAGGCGGAAGATGCAGCTGGAGCGATGTGGGAAGGAGGAAGTGGGGCAGAGGGGCGGGAGGAGAAGGCGAGCGCATAGGGACTAACGCCGCTGATGCTGCCAGCGCTGTCTCGCTCCCTAGAGTCTTCCCTCATGCCCCTTCCCTCCCGCCCAGCAACCTCGCCCATGCTCCCCACGCTCCCCATGCGCCCCAGGGCTCTCTCTGACTCCCGCTCCTTGTTCCCCCCCTGCCACAGCAGTCGCACCATCACCCCTCCGCAACACACCAGCAGCACCATCGCCTGCACGCCGAATATCGCTGCCGCGCACACAGCAAACAGCATCACCCGCCACGCCAGCAGCCACAGCCCCCCCGCGCCCCCCAGAACCGCGCGCAGGCGCAGCTCCGCCTCGTAGATCTGCGGAAGCCCCGCGCCCGACCCCGCGCCCGCCTTCGGCTCCAGCATCACGCGCACAGCCGCCACCGGCGCTTTCCCCTCGACTCCGCGCAGCACGCGCAGCTCCAGCCGCTGCGCCTCCTCGCGGAAGCCCAGGAAGAAGGGGACCGCGAGCAGCGCCGTGCGCAGCGCGCGGATGGGGCGGCTGCGGAACTTGAGGGTGGCGGGCTGCGAGTTGGCGGAGAGGATGGAGTGATCCGCGGAAAGCGCGTGCGCGGAAACCTGGAACATGCCGAGCGCGAGGTTGTGGTCGGACTCGGGGAGGCGCAGGCGGAGAACCGCCTCGTAGCGCTGGCCCCGCTGCAGCAGGCGCGGAGGAGCGGCGGAGAAGAACCGCCCTGGTTGCGCGCCTGCTCGGGCGGAAGATGAGCCGGGGGAGTGCGGCGGGTCTGGCGGAGGGGGGAGGAGGGTATGCGGGCGCGGAAGGAAAGAGGCGACGGCGTACGGCTCGGGCTGGCGGAAGTCGAAGAGCAGCAGGCGGGTCTGGTCGAAGGGGTTGGGCGCAAGCCGCCACACGAGCAGCATGGCGAAGGGGAGCGACGTGCAGACGAGCGCGGCGAAAAGCGACGCCGCCAGACACGACGCGCAGATGCCGCGGCTGAGGTTCCACACGAGGCTCATGGAGGCGGAGGATGAGGCGGAGGCGGTGACGGAAGAGGGGGAACGACGCGGAGGGAAGCGAAGTGGTGCGGAAGAGTATGGGTCGGCGGAGGATGGGGACGAGGGGGGAAAGCGCGCGTGGGAGGAGGGGAGGGCGGGGTAGGAGAGGGTGGAGGAGGCGGAAGAGGGCGGGGGAGCGGAAGCCGCGGGGAAGGATGCGGCGGAGGGGTAGAGAGGCGCGGCGGAAGCGCCTAGCGATCGCGACGACTGGTGGTGCGACGCCGCGGGATTCATGGCGGGCTGCAAGAGGGGGCCAGGCTGCAAGAGGGGGCCAGGATGAAGGGCGGGAGCGGACGGGGGGAGGGGAAAGGGGAAGGGGAAAGGGGAAGGGGAAAGTGAGGGGGAGAAGGAGGAGCGAAGGGAGGTCGTAGAGTCGGAGGCTGGGGGGAAGAAACGGTGGTGGATCCGAGGTAGGGCCGAGGAGGCAGGGTCCGGCAGATTGTACCTGATTCCAAGAAGAAGCTCCGAGGCCTCAGCTCGAGGCTTCTGAGCCGATGCAACGAATCATGTAGCCCACGGAAAGAGAGATTCAAGAAACCATGAGGGTAGGAAACGAGGTCAACAACACGGAGGTAACAAGCGCGCAGAGAGACGGACTGATGCGCCACACGATCTACGGTCGACAATCAGCGATCAGCGATGGGCTCGGCAGCTAGTAGAGCTAGGAGAAAAATGTTCCAGAATCACTTCACAATGGCTCAAGGGGGAGCCCAGGATAGACTGGCTACAAACAGAATCGAACAGCTTTTCGCGCAAGCCTGGGTGTACACTCATTCGTGGTGAACAGCAGGCGCGGAGGAGTAGGCGGGCGGGATTGACGGGGAAGGGCATGGATTGATGATGGATGGACGCCTATGCCCAAAGAAGTGTTAGCGGGTGAACGGGCATGAGCCGCTTGCGAAGCCCGCCTGTCGACTCGGTTATTACAGTTTCGCCAAGTCTCGCCTGATATCTCTCGTTGGTTTGGCTTTGGCGAAACGCTTCTCGACTGGTGCTGACCAGCGTCATGCGCGAGAAAGGACATGCTGGGGCTTCGCTGGGTGACGAGGGGCCGCTCCACCAATCACCTGATTGCGTGCTGCGAGTGGGATTTTTCGCGAGCTCTGGGGGACAGTGATGTGTGATGTGGTGTGTGTGTAATGTGCGTGTGTGCATGGGGGCCACTTCAGCAGCAACACGAGTGACGCCGGCCTCCCTGCCTCGCTACAACCGGTTCGTGCGATGTTCCTCATAAGGCACCAGTGCTGCTTCACGTGGGGTACTGGCATGCACAAAAGAATCTATGCTCAGTTATGATTATAGGTTATCTTTGTACAAAAGAATCTGTCATATATAGTCTTCTTGAAGATCATATGGCCCTGATGAGGATTCACACCCCAAGGACAGGGGGAGCGGAGGGAGAGCCTCTTCATCAAGTCAAAAGTTCACAGACAGCCTCAACGAGATTTGCACATGCGATCTGCGCTCCTGGCAACCAATTAACTAGGCAGCGTGCAATACAAGCTCTACGGCCACACTCGTCTTTTCCTGCCCCTCCAGTCCCCTCCAAGCTACCGTAGTAGCTTCCTTCGACAATTAATCCTCCCATATTTTTGTCAACAAATATAATTATCTAGGCTAGCTACTTTATATTTGTTATAGCCTTAGTTAGGTCAGTTCTTAGAGGATACTGTCCTACCTTTCTAACCCTCGACATTTTCCCTTAGCACACAATTCTCTCGACAATCTAACATGGCATCTAGAGCTAGGTCTCGCCCTCTACTCACGCTTCCGCCCTAGCACACCCTAGCCTAGCGCGCCTCGGCCCTAATTGCGCACCTCGTAGCCCGTCCCCTTCCCGCCCTCTCCTCTTCGTCGCGTAGCTTACGCCAGCCGCCCCTGGCTTGCGCCCGACAGCGCCTTAGTTTGTAGCCTTCCCACCTCCTGCCACCCGCTCGTAGCCTGCGCCAGCTCGCACGCTCGCCTGCTCGCCCACCATCTTGCTCGCTTGTTCGCCAGCCTGTCTGCTCGTCAGCCCGCCTACTCGCCTGCTCGCCAGCCCACCTGCTCGCCAGCACGCCTGCTTGCCAGCGTGCCTGCTCGCTAGCTTGCCTGCCCGCCTGCTTGCCTACTCGCCTGCTCACCATCGCACCTGCTTGCCAGCAGTGCCAGCAGCCAGCACCAGCAGCCAGCAGCCAACTCACTGGCTTACCAGCGCCAGCAGCCAGTGCCAGCAGCTAGCAGCCAACTCACTGGCTCACCAGCGCCAACAGCCAGCAGCCAACTCACTGGCTCACCTGCGCCAGCAGCGAGCAGCCATCGCCAGCTCGCCAGCGCCAGCAGCCAGCACCAGCTAGCTCGCCAACGCCAACCAGCGCCAGCAGCCAGCAGCCTGCTTGCTGGCTCACCAGCGCCACCAGCGCCAGCAGACAGCCGCCAGCCGCCACCAGCCCACTGCTAGCAGCCAGCAGCTAGTGCTGGCTGCTGCCGCCCACTGCCACTACCGCAGCTACTACTACCCGCTGCCGCCGCTGCTTCTCCTGTTGCCACTACTCTTGCCCACTGTCAGATTCGGCCTCCAGCAGCCGACCACCAGCTGCCAGCACCAATCACCAACCACCAGCAGCCGACCGCGAACCCCCGGCCGTCAGCCGTCAGCCGCCAGCTGCCACCACTCGCGGCCAGCCGCCGCCCACCAACCGCCCGCGGCAGTCGGCCGCCAGCCACGTGAGTCCCCCATGCCCTGTGGAATGTTCTTCACCCTGTGCCGCCAGTCATAGTGCCTCCTAGCTAGCTCCTTGGCGTACTACTCCTAGAAGCTCCTCTCGCGCGTACTACCTCCTCGTTTGCTCCTGACTCCTCCTAGCAGCTCCTAGCCTACCGCCAGTCGCTCACTAGCCGCTGTCGAGCTCCTCCTCACTTGCAGCCTCTTGCTCCCAGCCCACCGCCAGCTAGTCGCTACTACCGTCTTACTGTCACTAGCCGCTACTGCTACCAGCCTCGTGCTCGCTGCCACTGCTCCGGTTTTAGTCGCCACTCCTCCAGCCACAGTCGCCACTGCTACTACCTCCGAATGTAGTCCTCTAGCACCTACTGCCTACCACTAGTCTCCTCCTCATTTCTAGAGTTCCTCAACGTCTCTCCTCTCGGCATAATGGTCTCGTTTGGGTCAGTCCCTTGGCCAGTTCCTTGGTCAGTCCCTTGGCCAGACCGCCAGGCACTTCACTCTGCTCTCTGATTTCTCGCTCACCATTTATAGCTGTTGAGCCAGCACCTAGAGTGCACCCTCCTAGATAATCACATTAGTTACCTCCTTGGCTTCTGGCTCCATGACCTCGACATCTGCTTCCGGGCTCTCTAGCCAGTACCACAGCCGCAGCAGCAGCAGGAGCTGAAGCAGCGGCGGCAGCAGCCGCAGTGGGATCTTTGGGGTGTTGGGCGAGGTGGAGGTTCTGGAGGTGTGGCCCTGGGGCGGTCACTGCCCTGGGGCTAGTGTGGTTTCTCTGGAGGACCGGGGGCCTTGGGCCCTAGGGGTCTAGGCCCCATCACTGTGTCTCGTCTAGGAGCCTTTACTACGTGTCCCCTAGGCTCCTCCCCTGCCTCTCCTGCGGCGGCCCTCTCCTTTATCCTTGACTCGGACGCCTCTCATTGCTCCTTTAAAGACAGTACTGCTCTCACCCCACTTTCTGCGCCTGTCCGCGTCGCACTAGCAGACTCCTCCGCCACAGCTCTTGCACGTAGCACCACTGCTCTCCCTTGTCCAGCTGTCCTCTCGGGCTCCCTCACCGGTCTGCACATCCCCCCGTTTGCCAAGAACCTAGTGGGTGCCGGTCACCTTTAGGGTCGAGGCGTCACCACTACGTTCCCTGGCCGTGAGAGACATGCCGCTTGCACAGACACAGTCACCGGTCGACACTTAGCTACGTTTGAGCGTGACCCAGGGTCAGGTCTCTCTACACTGCAAACTGAGTTCCTTCGGACTGTTGCGTCTACCGCGGTTGCTGCGTCCTGCTTTTGTCGCTCCATAGCCCACCCGACCCTTTCTGTGGCAGCACTGCTTAGGACACCCTGCACTCCCACGTCTTATGCATATGTCCCAGCGCGGTCTAGTCACTGGTCTCCCTGCGTCGCTCCCCGCCCTGCCTACGTCAGAGGCGCCACTGTGCACATCCTGCGTCGAGGGCCGCCAGCGTGCCGCCCCCTCACTCCTCCTCATTTCCTCCTACCACAGCGCCGCTACAGACGCTGCACATGGACGTCTGGGGCCCTAACCCGGTCCATGGTCTTAGTCGGTAGCGCTACTTTCTAGTCGTCGTTGACGACTTCTTGCACTTCATCACGATGTCCCCGTTGGAGCGGAAGGCCGACGTGCATACCGTTCTCTTCTCGTGACTTCTTACTATTTGTACCCACCACCGCCTGCCTGTAGGCCGCTTACACTCTGACAGTGGTGGCGAGTTCGCCTTTGGCACTCTAGGACAGTTCAGCCGTGTGGAGGGCATCCGCTTGACACTTATGACTGACTGTTCTACCACCCGTCACACCACCGCTTTTACCACCCTCATGACGTTACCTTCGACAAGATGCTCCCCTACTACCGGTGCTTCCCGCAATGCAACGCTCTTGTGCCTCCTCCTCCTCTCTTCCTTATCCTTGCCTAGTGACCCAGTGACGTGCTAGAGGACAGGCAACTACTTGCGTCGCTTGTCCCCGCGTCGCTTCCGTGGTCCGCAACCCAGTGACGTGCTAGAGGATAGGCAGTACGTGTTGGCCTACCTTGCTGCCGCTGTTCCCCATCTCTGCTCCATGCTTGTATCCCAAGAGGGTGACCTAGATGCTCTCGACATCCCTCTTCCATGCTCTTACGCTGTGGCGGTGTCGGGGCCCTGGGCAACCCAGTGGATACAGGCCATGGAGGCTGAGATGGCATCCTACAGATCCATAGGCACTTACGTCGACGCAGCTCCCCCGCCTGGGGCAAACGTATTCGAAGGAGATAACGTTGGATTATATTCCAGTATAATCACATAAGACCCGGCCAGGCACAATACTATGATTTCCAGCTAGTGGGAAGGAAATACCACTATGCGAGGGAACCACATGGCAATACCCTTAAGAGCAGGAGATATTTGCTCTTATGAGGATGGGAGGACAACGGTACTCTATTTGTATACAAGTCCTCATGGCCTATGGCTTTCCTTAAAAGTCATAAAACCTACAACCAATCCATCACCAGCACCAACTCTACGGAAGCAGATAGGCGTGATAGCGAAACATGTCAATTACCTTTCTTCCTTTGCTATAGCGAAACTTGCTCACACCACAGCAACCGACAAATCAATTTCATCACCGTTGTCCACCAGCTCTAAGATCGGACACGCCTCTTGGACATCCAACAATAGCAAAAGCACTTGGCCGCTCATCACTACAGTTATCCACACCGTAATCTCATCATCAGCCATCTTCCATCCAAGCTTCAACCTTGCTTCTGCGGGTCTATCCTCGTTGAAGCAGAGGTCACTTTAGTCACCTTCCACTTTCGCCTACCAGCCACTTGGAAGATCTACAACGCCTTCCATACCAGCTTCTTAAACCCGATCGGGACCGAACACGCTCTATACCGAATGCCAACCACCGTCACCGCCCATGTTGCCAATAGACCCTCGCTTTATTGCGACAGGGAGGCACCGACCAGTCCACTGGTCGGATGGCAAGAGGGTGCTCGAGTACTTGGTGAGTACATCTGGATTGGGGCTTGTATTAGGAGAACGGGAACTAGTGGTGCTCACTGGATACACAGACGCGTCGTAGGCTGACGACGTGAA